TGCAAAATCACTTTATCGTGTCTCTCATTGTATTGCGGCCGTTTGTCTTTCAATGCTCGGCTCAAACGCATCAATTGCGTTCGATACCGATCGCCTGTGATTGTTTCAGTTGGTTTTAATAGCTCATAATACACTACGCTTAACTGGTCCTACCAAATACAGAGCATGACCTTGGAGCCGTGAATATTCGGTTTGTCCGTCGACGTGGAAGCATGGCCGGGGATTCCCATGATTTTCTGCGCTTGGGGTTATCGTAATGAACCCATTTTTCGTCCCCAGTCACAATACGATGCAGAAATCCCTTCCGTCTTTGCCTTTCAAGCAGCTGTTCACAAGCAAACAAACGCCGTTCAATATCTCTCGGCTTCAACTCGTACGGCACCCAATTTCCTTGCTTCTGAATCATTCCCATGGCGTTTTGAAATGGCTTTTTGAGTTACTCCCAATGATCGTGCCAATTCTTCTTGATTTTGACACGAGTCTTGATTAAGTAATGCCTCCAATTCTACATCTTCGAAAACCTTCTCTCTTCCACCGCTATGCCGGTCTTCGACGTCAAAATCACCATTCTTGAAGCGTTGAAACCACTCATGACACGTTCTTTCACTAACAGCGACCTCATCATAAGTATTTGAGAGCATTCGATGAGTCGCAGCCGCAGACTTCTTCATATTGAAGCAGAAAATTGAAACTTCCCGTAAATGACGAGAATTTGGCTCGTAAACTGACATTTTCAATTGAGAATAACTTTATGATGCAGACACAAATCGACTAATGTTTCTATGGGGTTACAATGATAGATGCACAAGTTTATTGCATGACGTCTATGATCTATTTATTTCGACCACCACTTGCCGCTAAAGCCATTTATAGGAAAACGGCGAAAGCAAAGTTGTACACCTAATAATTTTTATTTCTCCTCAAAGTGAGTAAAACTTTTTTATTCATCTCTGTATTTACTTTATTTAAGAATCTCATAACAGTCATGAAATAGTTATTAATTTAACATTTATATTTCTTACGGATCATTTTAAAATGTGGTTATTTCCCAAATATTGGTTCTAACAGCGTTCTTCTTATCATTCATGGACTGGACATTGTCCCGTTATTTCAGATTTAACATCTACAGGAAAACATATTACTACTATGATTATATCGAAAGGCATTACGGAGAAAATACAACCATTAGATGTTTACGAATTTAGAATTTGGAAAAATTTTAAAAGATTTTCAGATATTGTTTTATTATTGGAAAGTAATACAAATTTACATGAACGAAATAATATAATAAAATTATTTATTCAATTGTCATTCCCGCGATATCACAACTTATTTAAATATTCGTGATTTAAAAGTGGTTATACAAACGAAAGATCAGAAGAATTTGAAAGTTCAGTAAAATTTAGTTTTGACAAAACTTCAACATGTGATATCGTAGGTTGTACAGTAATATAGCTGTAGTAAAATGTTTATGGTGTAAGAAGTCATTATGTTTAAAACATTTTTTCATCGAGTATTATTATTATGAGTATAATGAGTAAACGATACAAAATATAAATTTATTGTGTATAAACATTTAGAAATTATTTCATTATTAAGTACGTTTAGAAATTATTACGTAAACGATAAGTAAATAAGATATTAAAGCGTAAAACTGAAAATAACTTGAAGAGAATAATCTTAAGATATTACAAGGAAGTAATGTACAGAGATGGATAAAAAAGTTTTACTCATTTTAAGGAGACATAATAAAAATTATTATAACTTAACATTAATTATAATTTGTAATGTTACAAATATTAATCATGTCAATTTCCTTATTCGTTGATTTATGTATTTTATTATTCCAACGGCAATTACTTACGCATGTGGGCATGGATAGCGTATACGGAAGCGTTAATAATTAATTCTTAAAAATGATATGACATAATATAACTTTATTACACATGGTTGAATTCGTAAAAAAATAATCTTTAATTTGGTTAAAAAAAGAATTTGAAAATTTAAAAAAATTATAAGTGGTGAGGGTATTTTGTTAAACAAAAAAATAAACAAAATTTCTTTTTCTTTATAACTTTGAAGTACTGTTGAAATCGTACAACTTTTATTTAAAAAATTTTTTTCTATTGTTTATACGTCCGACGATATTCGCCGAAAGAACAATATCTTTTTTTCAAAGGGTTGTTTAACCCCTTAAGGGGGTATTCTCATGTGTCAGGTAAAAAATCTTTTTTTTTTTTACATATTTTGAAAGTATATCATTAGGAGAATATGATGTTAAAGTTTCATTAAAAAAGTTGGAATTAAAAAAGTTGACAATCGGTCCGCAAGCTATAAATTTCATGGAGACGCACGACAAAGCGCGCATAACAAATGCGGAGCACTGTACCACTGCGGCTTCAAAAGAGGCAGCTTTGAGGGCGGCTAGGGCAGAAGAAAACGATGCTTTTGAGGAAGCTGAAGGTCTATTGTATGGAGCAGGCATAGCCGATTAGTGTAAGTATATTTTTTCTTCGAAAAATCAATTAAGAAAATTTTAAACGCGTTTTTCTCGAAACCACTTTTTTTTGGTCGGTGCAGGTGATTAATAAAAAACTATCCAACCGATTGGCCTGAAATTTTTTGAGCATAATCTACATATGATTGGCTCTCACAGGTACCAGAATCGCTTTTTTTTAATGAAAATTTCTTATTTTTTCGACCACCACGAAAAAATTGCGATTTTTTGCTTCAAAATTTCAAATGGCCGCTTTTTTTTTTTTTTTTTATAAAAATGACCAATTCTGGTACCTGCGATAGCGACAAGCATACAGATTAAGAATCTTTTTTACTTTTTTGTTTCAGATGACAGTGTGAGCTGAAATCACTTGCACCGCTGACAATGCTTTTTTTCAAGGCACCATCTTTGACTACAGAGAGCATACACAAAATATTAATAAATTATGACCAAAAAAATTTTTTTATAAACTATAAGATGCAAGTAATAACATATAAAAAGATTAAAAAGATTGCGTTTTATTTTCTTTATAAAAAAAATTCCTAAAATATGCTTAAAATTTTGACCTTGACATGAGAATACCCCCTTAAACATGAATTAGAGCACGTACAAAAAAATACGTATCTCTTAGATTTTCGTATTTAACACGGACAGATGTGAAACTTCCCTTGTAAGTTACAAGTAATAATCTAACATTTATTTTTTATAGTTTTCTATTAAATGTATAATTAAATGCATAATTGGACCACCGTGGGTTATACATTAAATATTCACGATGAAACGGGACAATACAGAAAGCATATGTACTAAAAGGGCAATTTACTTCTAAGCAATTAATTTTATTTTATCGTAATAAATTTTTTATCTTATATTAATGGTTATTTCTTATTTGTTTTCTTATAACTTTCTATTTTATTATTTATTATGATAATTATTAGTCGTAATTATATTTTATTGTATTAGTGACTATATGCTAAGAATGTGTAAGTTAATTGAAACTACTGTTACTTTTCAACTTTCGTCACCGTTATTTCTTGCATAATCCTACTATTTTGTGTGTGACTTATGGTATCCCGGGTATGGAGCACCATGGGTCATTTTTAAAAAACGTTATTTTTTTCTTAAAAACTAATAAATATTTACTAAATATATGTATACTTATTAAATTTTAAAATATGCATTATGCTTTAATTATTGAAAAAAATGTATTAATTATACAAAAATATTTATATTTAGATGCACTTTTAAAAGTTTAAATTTTTGCAACTCATGGTGCCCCGGTCTCCCCTATACGGATTTACCTGGCACTGATACATATTTCTTGGACTCTGGTTACAATCCGGCAAAGGAATGAGATTAGCTAAATTGCTGAAAATTGTTGTTTGGCTTATTTCTTGATGAGTTGTTAACTAGTAAGAAAAAGTAAAATTATCACGTTACATAAAGATTAAAAACTTACACAAATATAAAATTGTGTATACATACTCTCTAAATTTCTTGGAGTGAAGTGTCACTTCAAAAGAGTTAAAATACTACCACTATTGAAAGAGTAAAAAATTTGCACTTTTGAATATGAATAACAGATTTTTACTCGTTTTTTAAGTGAGATTTCACACTTTTGGAGTAAGATTTACTCCAAAAGAGGAGTGAAATTTCTTTCCTTTGGAATGAATCTCACTGAAAAAAAAAAACTGCCATTCTTATTTAAAAGTGCAAATTTTTCACTCTTTTTCAATAGTGATAGTATTTTTTTAAATAAGAGACTTCCAAAAAATTTAGAGAGCAAATATAAAATTGTGTATACTTACTCCTTCATATGCTTCTTGAGAGTTCACGCAAATTTCCATGTAAATTTGTTCAAACGTTCCTATAAGTTCAATCTTCTGCATAGCTAAATTTATTACTGGTCTCATCATTCTAGCAGCATTAGTAAATAAGAATAACCCCGGATACTGAGCTGAAACATTTTTCTTTGGCACAAATGCAATCTCCAATGTTGACGGTATCTAAAGAAAAAATATTTCAGATACCATACACACAGTGGTTATAAATCAAACCAGAGGCGCGATTCCGTAACTATCTTTACATGCCTATCGACAGTTATCGGTGTCGTTGCATAAATATTTTATATGATGAAAAAGCTGCGCAACGACACCGACAACTATCGGTAAGCGTGTAAAACAGTTACGGAATCGCGCCCCAGGAAGCATTACGTTCTGACTCACTTCTCGACCCTTTATTTTAAGCAATCTCAGCTTATATACTATTTTATTAATAATTTTGTCCTCAATCAATCCAATCAATTTTCCATCTAACATTACATTATACGAATTTTTCCAATCATCCGCGATAGATAATGGAATCATTCCATGATCTACTAATACTGCAGGTATCGCGGCTTTCAGTTTTGGGTTTGCATGTTTTGTGATGATACAATTCATTGTCAAGTGATTGAGTAATCCACATGGAGCACCATCCGGTGTATGAATCGGACAAATAAATCCTATAAACAGATCATAATTATTTAGTTTAATATACAGGGTGAGTCATTTTAATCTATGAACCCGAATATCTTCCAAATTACGGTATCTACAAAAAAATGGTTTAGATAAAAGTTGACCAGGGCAGAGGGGGTCATTTAATTGTATCATTGGTTTTGACCTTGAGGTCAATTTTGAAGGTTATTTCAAGGTCACGATGGTTTTTTTAAATGGGACACCCTATTTTTGACTGCGGATTTCGAAAGAGCGGAAAATTTTACATCAAACTTGTCTTATGAAAAAATTGTTTTTGCGACCTTGGAAAGGTCAAAAATGAAGGTCAAATGCCTGAAAAACGATCTGGTGTACTTCTTCTGAAATGACGTGGTTTTCTGGGTAACACAAATGTGCATAATGCTTGAAAAAAGTCAATGAATTGTAAAAATGTAAATCACTTTGACTAGCTTGACCTTGAGGTCAATTTTCAAGGTTGTTTGAGGCTCATAACGCATTTTTTTATTAGTAAACCTTATTTTTGACCGCAGAACCTGTTTTATGACAATGGGCTCTTAAACAATGGCACTTTTTACATAAGCATAGGGATTTTTTAGCTCTTGGTTTGCGAGGTTTGCGCTGTGAGCAGAGGAAGTAGTTAGGCTTGTCACCGCCAGATGCCGTCGCAGAGTTCCCAGCTATGCGCACCTTACGTCCGCTGCTCCCGTAGTAGAAATGGATTTCCATTTAGACATAAGGCGTCTACCCGCCAAGTACAGATATTGCATAATGCTAATATTAATTGAAGAATTTAGTATTTAAAGTTGCTTAAATTTTAAAATTCCAAACATTGTATGTAGGTAATTACATTCACAAGTTACCTTTCCAGAATGGCTGATTATAGTCCTAATGAGATTGTTGATATTATATTAGTTTTAGGGGAGTGTCATAGCAATTACAGTGCAGCATCAAGGCTTTATGCTCAACGTTTTCCTGAAAGGCGACATCCAACTGATATGACAATACGTAGTTTAGTCCAAAGAGCTCGCAATGGACATCTTGTTCGTCAACGTCAACATCATGAATATGACGAAAATGATGCGCGAGCTGTAACTATTTTAGCAATAGTTCACCTTAATCCTCATGTTAGTATTCGCCAGATTGAAAGGGAAATAGGTATACCACAAAGAACTGTTGTTAGAATTTTAAGAGCTCTAAATTATCACCCTTTCCACATCACTCTTACGCAGGCTTTACAGCCTAATCATCATCTGATGCGTATTGCTTTTTGCCAGTGGGCTTTACAAATGTTACACGATGATCCTAATTTTTTTAGGTATGTGCTTTTCTCAGACGAGGCTACATTTTGTAGTAACGGACAACTTAATAGACACAACTGCCATTATTAGTCAGATGTTAATCCCCACTGGTATAGGCCAATAGATCATCAAAATCGATGGAGTATTATGGTGTGGTGCGGCATTGTAAATGGTTATTCGATTGGACCTTATTTTTTTGAAGAGAACGTTGATAGACACAGTTACTTATCGTTGCTAAGAGATCACTTACCAGGCTTATTAGATGTTGACTTAGCAACAAGAACAAGAATGTGGCTTCAACAAGATGGTACTGCACCGCATTATGCACTCATTGTACGTGGCTTTTTAAATGCCACTTACAATGACAGATGGATTGGACGAAGGGTCCAGTTGAATGGCCTCCTTGCTCACCAGATCTGACGTCGCCTGATTTCTTTTTATGGGGATACTTGAAAAATGTTGTTTTTGCTGAACGACCAACCACAAGAGATGATTTTATGGACCGCATTCATAGAGCTTGTGCAGCCATTCCTAGAGCTACCCTGCTTAGAACTGTGGATAGTTTTCAAAACAGATTGCAGTTATGCCTCGAAGCCAACGGAGGTAATTTTGAACAATTACTCCGTGGGTAATTCATTTAAATTACAGTGTCAGTGAGAGGCAAGGGGACTCACGATAATCAAGCACCCTAAAGGAAACAGAACTTACTACGTCCACGTCGTAGTTTCCGGGTAACGCTAAAAGTAAGATGAAAGTGCTTTTGACCTTGATATGACCTTCAAAAGGTCAGGTCGAAAACCTAAAAAATCCCTATGCTCATGTAAGTGCATAGTTTAAGTGCCATTGTTTAAGAGCCCATTGTCATAAAACAGGTTCTGCGGTCAAAAATAGGGTTTACTAATAAAAAAATGCGTTATGAGCCTCAAACAACCTTGAAAATTGACCTCAAGGTCAAGCTAGTCAAAGTGATTTACACTTTTACAATTCATTGACTTTTTTCAAGCATTATGCACATTTGTGTTACCCAGAAAACCACGTCATTTCAGAAAAAGTACACCAGATCGTTTTTCAGGCATTTGACCTTCATTTTTGACCTTTCCAAGGTCGCAAAAACAATTTTTTCATAAGACAAGTTTGATGTAAAATTTTCCGCTCTTTCGAAATCCGCAGTCAAAAATAGGGTGTCCCATTTAAAAAAACCATCGTGACCTTAAAATAACCTTCAAAATTGATCTCAAGGTCAAAACCAATGGTACAATTAAATGACCCCCTCTGCCCTGGTCAACTTTTATCTAAACCATTTTTTTGTAGATACCGTAATTTGGAAGATATTCGGGTCCATAGATTAAAATGATTCACCCTGTATATTATAAAAATCTTGATAAGCTGAAATATACAGGGTGTATGCCAGACTTATGAGACCACCTCTAGTGAGCAGATAGAGCGGATTAAATCATTGTAAAATTACATTAAAGTTTATAATTACCCCATGCATCAGGTAACAATTGTCTAGCTTCAGTAGTCCTCATTTCTTGGAAGAATGCGCCTCTATGTATCGCGCGAAAATGACTCATATAACGCATCCGATTGATATTTTCCACAACAATCGTAAAACCAGTAGTTTGCATGAGCCCCAGGCCACTAGATGATCTTACATTTCCAGTAGATAAAAAGTACTCCATTTGTGAGTCAATGTTGCTTCGAAATTTAGTGACGTTCAACATTTCCTCTGAATAAATATATTTCAAAAAAATTAGTTAAATGTATTTGGTTTGATTTGTTCATAACATCAACAATACAAATAAAATACTTACGCACACTTAAGGCGTATCTATTACCAGCACTTTTGTCACGTTTGAGAATATGATGTTTAAGTCCTACTAGCCACGAATATAATTTCTCTTTAAGAACTTGGAGATACAAGTGTCCACCTAATAAACACTCTTGCATCATCACAGCGTCCGCACTTTCAATGGCGCATTTATTATTCGCAAAAGTAAATAGTTTTTTAGTCATAAAAACAAGTAAATGGAACTTATCGGTAGGTTCCTCAAGATGAATAGAGATACAATATCTATATGACAAAATATAATGATAATATAGAGAACTACACATAACACAAACAAGAAAAATTAATGAAATTCAAACTTACTTAATGATGTAATCACAAACATCTATATTAGTTGCATCTGTAGACAATTCGGAGCATTTGACTTTAAACATCTTTCCTATATAAGCTTTACATTGTTCATGCCAGTGTAGACCTTCTTCATGCACCGCACGTAACATATTTATGATATTATTTTTGTAATAAAGATCATCTTCGCATCCAGCGATTAATGCTTTGTAAATATATAAATCAGTTACGTCTATCAAACATTTTAATATCAGTATTAATGGCACAAAATATGTAACTTTCTTGTATGTAAATGCAAGTTTTGCAGAACCATCTGTCACAAAGTGCAGTGTATTGTTCTGTAAAAAGATACACACTGATAACATATGACATGTGAGAGAACAAAAAAAATAATGTAAAACAAATTCTATTCAGATATATACAATAGAAGAGTTGTCCTCTCGAACACTTCGCAGAAGAATACCCAACTCACTGAAATGGTCACCACGACCTTTCCAAGTTGGTCTTTTGACAGCAATGGGATAGTTTCGTCTCGTCATTATTAACATACGTATAAGGCGCTCTAAACCTCTGATTATGAAGTATCCACCCCATTCTTGTTCATGTTCACCATGAGCGATTAATTCTTCAGGGTTCATATTGTTCAAGTTACATCGATTAGACTAAAAAATATCGTATTTTTGTAACAAAAAAAAAAAATCATGATTTAAATAAAAATATTTACTCAAAATGCAACCATATAAAATAGTAAGTGCAGAAGGCTCAACAAATGGCAATCAGAAAATTATATTGTTTTTACCTTGACCATGATTGGAACTTCTCCTAAATCCTTTTCAAGAAGTTCTTGCTCTTTACCATTAACAGACCACCCGAGTCTTGCTATTATTTTACCCTTGTAAGTAGAACCTCTTTGTCGACATTCTGTCGGATATATTTTACATGTTTTCACACCAATTGTACTAGAAGGAATAGTGGGCTTATAAATATGTACATCATCCATCCAAAGAACTACCTTGTCACCATTAGTAAGAGTTAAATATACTGGTGTACAATCTTTTAAACTGTAAAAAAGGCCATCCTCCAGCATATAATTAAAGGAATCAATGTGAGGCACACCTAGAGATTGCAATAGCTGAAACAAATAAATTGATTGATGTAATGTTCTGCTTTAAAAGTATCAAGGCATTTTTCTTATAATAGGCATTGAAATTCTTATTCTGTTCTTTATTCCCTATTCCTTTTATTGTGTGGAGTCCCTAAAGCACACAATCTCAATCTTGTACAGATTATAGGTAAAAACTCATAGCAAATTCAGTCACTTGCACTACACTAGATCAGTGCATAAAAACTATTTTGCATGAAATTAGCAAAGTTAAATATAAAAGTATATAAATATTTTAAACGATTAACTATCTACTAATGATATTGTCACATTATTTAACAAAATATATGTGTATCATTTCATTATCAAAGTTGATTATATTGTATCACTGCATAGTATATTGAGATAGTTTATATAAAGCAGCTTTTAATATGCACTGATCTAAGGTAATGCAAGTGACCGAATTCACCATCAGTTGAATCTCACTTGTCAGAATGCAAAAGAAACGTGCATTCAACTGAGTTATGACGTCACAAGTGAGAATCAATGTAAATGGAAAGCAACTTTTATCTCCGAAATTCTATAGTAACATAAATTACAGCATGTTAGGGCGCTAACATCGTTCTAAAGGCGTTATAAATACGGGCCATTAACTTTAACGTCTATAACTACATACACATCAATTTGTGCGTACTAACCTCATTCTGTTTGTCGGGCGGTATGCCGAAATTCGGCGATGTGTTCGTCAATTTCGGTCCAATCGACATGTTTAACAAACTCGTTACGAACTACAGATTACGGTTTCTTCCAAAAATACTATGCTTTTATTTACAAATGTAACTTTCTTCTTCTTCTATATTTAAATGACCCAGGTTCCAATGTGGTTGGATTCACGTGGCCAGTCTTATCCAATACCCCTCCAACCTTCCACAAAAATTTCCAAACTATATAATAGAATACAATGCACTGGCAACCTCGAACCGAGCGAAAAGAACAAAAGAATAATATAATCAAAATGAAGATGGTAACGAGCCCCTTCAAACACTGGACGCCTGTGACTACGATGCTTCCATGATAAAAAGACAAGGGTATGCTCATGCGCATGACTAATCAGATTTTTGTCCTTGCTTACGTCACAACGAGTGGCTTACGCCACTGTTCAGCAATTTCAGATTGTTTTGGAAAGGTAAAATATTTAATTTTACTTCCCTCAGTTTTTTTTGTTTTTTTCATATAATTGCCGCATCCTTTCACTATGCAGGTCATCGTGAAAATATTTTTAACATTAACTTCTACCGATGACAACGTGCACTACGCCATGGACGCCATGATAAATTACGACCGATAACCACCGATTGCACCCGAATCAGAACCGACCAATCAACGCGTACCCGAATATGACGTAGGCAAGGACATGCGCAAGCTGAACGAGTTTTAGACAATTGATGAGCATCCCCTTGTATTTTTATCATGGATGCTTCCACGTGCTTCCACGCCGCACAGCCGCGCGCCAAGCCAAATGAAGGGACTGTTGCTGGATTCACACTGCATCCGATTTGCGTCGTACGACTCTCTGCAACCAATCAGAAAACTGGATTCCGATGATACGAAGCAAAATCCATCGGAATCCTGTTTTCTGATTGGTTGCACAGCATCGTACGACGCAAATCGGATGCAGTGTGAATCCAGCATGCGAGAAGTGAAATACAACGGCACAGTCAAAGTCGGCAAAGCTTTTCAAAAAATATAATCGAGGTGACGCAACACCTGAGACGAGAGGGAACACGTCCGATCCGCTCGAGAGTCGAGTCACTAGGTGCATCCAGAAGCATGACCTGCACGACCGCTCATTGAGCTCTTGTATCTGTTTGGTCTATATTTTTCGATCTAATGGAATATGCCAATCAGATGCAAAAGTTCACCGAGCGCTCAGTGAGCGGTCGTGCTTCTGTATGCACCCACTGACAAGACTTAAGCCCGTATCAGACTACCGACTCTGCAAGCCGATTCGACTGCCAACTCTGACTGCCGACCAATAATGGACCAATCACAATGAGACTGATTCAATGTGATTGGTCCATTATTAGTCAGTAGTAGAGTCCTATAGGGAGGACTTCGATTGCACACATCGCATATTGCACACATGTATCGCTGATTGGCCAATTTAAAAATAAAATAATCTCATTGGCAAAACAGTGAAAAATTACTAGGCACCAGTTGATATGAGTGGTGTGTACAATCAGAACTGTAGGCAAACGGGATCCTCCCGTCCTATATATAGAGAGAACCTCCACCACCAGATCGGATCCCAACCATCACCCCCTACGCCGTCATGTTCCAACCATTAAAGTGTCGTAAACATAAACATACTCCGATGTACTTCGATGTTAATAACAAAGATGTAGTGATTCTCTGTGTCACAACTTATAGCGTTTTCGATTGGGCAAAATTTAGTGCGCACCAGTGCGCACTCAGTTCACACCAACACTGGACGAGTTCCATGGGTTGCACTGAATAGTACAAGTTCAAAAGAATACGCCAAGATTTTCAGTGCTAAAGCTGAAACTCATTTTTGTTCACTTTGAAGCAATGTTCAACAAAATGTTACAAAACTACAGTAAAAGATATTAAGAGTAGGGACAAGACCCCGTTTTCAATTCAACTGCGCAGATTTGCTTGTCCCTATATATATCCTTAACTGTGATAAAACGTGCACTGAACTGGCACCGTCAAAATATCTCGTGCCACTTAGTGCGCACTGAGTGCGCACTACGCGAGTGTCGTGCGATCAAATGAACACGTGACACTAGCTAAGTGCGCATTGGCACTGCCAATCGAACACGCTCTTGACACTGAGTGGAGCCAGTGCACCCCAATCGAAAACGCTATTAGTTGAATACACGTTCTTTTTGCATTCTGACAAGTGAGATACAACTGAAGTCGGCGGCCACATGTGTCGCGGTCACATGTGCAGTTACATGTAATCAGCTGCGGTCACAATATGGCTTCACTTAGGAGGAGATACCCAATCAGAATACATATCGGACTACCAGGGAATGGAAGTAACTCGTTAAGCTAAGACTCCATGTATGCGGTGAGCTCCGGGAAATGCTGCGGTGACTAATCAGGAGCCAGGCGCAAGTACGGGCCGTATTTGTGCCTGGCTCCTAATTGGTCACCGCAGCATTTGCCGGAGCTCACCGCATACATGGAGTCTTAGCTTTACTTGTAACAAAGTTACAGTTACAAGTTATTTTTTTGGTAACTTTACTAGTAACTGCATTACTTTTTTTCTTTGGTAACTGTAACGGTAACGAAGTTACATTTCTTTGATAACGATAACGAATTTTACAGTTACTTTTATCGTTACTTTGCACATGATTGGACACGATACGACACAAGCTATTTACACTGTAAAAAAATTTCGTAAATTTACACATATAATAAATGTAAAATAGATTACATGATTAGTTCTGTAAATATAAAAGATCATGCAATTTTAGAAAGGAATTACAGAAATTATGTAATTCCACAAAAATTATGTAAATTTGTTTTTATTGTGTAATTTTGTAATTATACTTCCACAATCTGCTTAGTTCCAAACCAAGAAATTATTTTTATTTGCATATTGCAAATTTACAAATGTGTGGACGTTTACAACTATTATGGTGGATCTCAAAATTATCCAGCATAATAGTTGTAATTTTAAACAATTTTTTACAATGCGCTTGAGACTAGAGAAGCCTCTAGGCTCGTGCGCTGCGATTGTCGTAGATTTAAAAAAAAATAACGGAAAAGTAATGAAAAGTTACTTTCTCAAGTAACGGTAACTGTAACGAGTTACTTTTAAAAATCGGTAACTAGTAACGGTAACTTGTTACTTTTAAAAAGTAACTTTCCATTCCCTGCGGACTACCAACCAGAAACTCGGACATCAATGTCGCTTCTCTCTATATATAGGACTCTAATCTGCATAGGTAAAAAGTTCGTCTTTACGGATTTTTCGACGTCTTGTGTCTTAGGCCTATCGCATATGAAATGCACAATAGAGCATAAACATAACATAAGACCGCTCGACCAATGAACATCTTATGTAAATCAATATGGCGACTTAATGCTGGATG